TTTTTTTTTCCTAGTGGTACAAAAAAAAACCTTTATCACACCAAAGCAAATTAATGGTGAAGCCTTTGTATGTATTTCATAGACAATTACAAGTTGATGTGCATTATGCAGCAGAAGGTCAGCTATCTGAAGGTCCCTGACCAGTTTGGTAATTGGCTGAAGGCCACAATTACAACACGCTTAAAAAAAAAACACAATTACCAACAAYGGTTGCTTCTTTTAACCCTTCAGCAAACATTTAAACTGTTTAAAGAAATCTGATCTGACAAACAAAAACTGTAGAGATTGTGTTTTAGTTACTCAAAAAAGTTTTAATTTTTAATTTTATTATTTATTTATTTATTATACAAATTTTTATTCAGATAATGCTCAATAAATTTGAATGGAATAGAATCAGAGTGTCAACATTGGACATGGTAAATTTAATATTTTAAACAATAAGTTTAAAATAAAGTTAATATTAAAGTAAATAAGTTAAGAGGGCCTTATTAATGTTTGGACATTATTTGTGAAGTCTCCCAGGGCTCTGTATTTAAAACAAACCTTTTTAAAATGTGGAAGAAATATATTGTGTTAGTATTTTTGTTGATTTAAAGAAAGCTTTTCATACTATTGATCACAGTATTCTTCTTGAGAAACTATACAAATATTGTATGAGAGGTCCAGTATTACGGGTATCTAGTTATCTGACAAACAGGAAACAATTTGTTCAAATAAATAATGTAAGATATAAATTTGGTGATATAACATGTGGAGTTCCACAAAGTTCTGTGCTTGGACCAAAGTTGTTTCTCTTATATGTAAATGATCTGGGAAATGTGTCAGTGTTGTTTAAATGTGTCTTGTTCATATATGATACCACTTTTTTTTTGTTTGGGCAAAGATTTAGAACAAATGTTCAGGATGATTCYGACAGAATTTGTAAACATAGAAACATGGTTTAAACTTAACAAATTATCACTAAATTTGGACAAAACAAACTATATGATATTCAGTAATAGAAAAAGAATGGTCAATGTTTCATTTAAAGTTTTCTGGTGTGGAGATCTCTAAAGTTAGTGAAGTAAAGTTTTTGGGTGTTATAATTGATGAAAACCTGACCTGGAAACCTCATATAAATTACTTAAGAACAAAAATAGCAAAATCTATTGCAGTACTACATAAAGTAAAGGAGTTGTTTAATGATAAAGCACTATATATATTATATAATTCAATAATTGTTCCACATTTGATTT